ATGGCTGAGGCCCCGTCTCTGTTTTCTAGCTACCAGCGCAATGCCCGGCACATACTAGGTATTGAGAGAAGCGACCGGGAACATGCTTGGTCCCTAAGATGCGGGAGGGATCTAGACAGAGGCTCTTGCTCTTGCCTGGACGGGTAGAATGAGGGGCCGTTTCTGGGCACACACAGCACCCTAAGAGCCCGGTGTCCCTCACCAGCCCCAGAGGAATGTCCAGGAAAGAGTAAGGACAGGAAGTTGTGGGGACTGGAAGGGGCACCATGACTGTGGGGCAGGAGAGCAGGAGCAAGTCAGACTCAGGACCTGGGCTGTCCCGGTTGGATCCTTGCAGGCCGCAGCACATTCCCTGGCCTTGATATGCACATCTGCAAAATGGAGCCCATCGTGGTCCACACCTCACAGTGTGGCCTGGCTCCCCACACCTGCCACCCCGCTCCATTTCTGCAGCAATGACCCAGATGTCTCAGAACCACCTTGAGGCTGGGTGTGGTGACACACGCCTGTAATCCCAGCACCCAGGAGGCTGAGGCAGGAGGATAGCAGTGAGTTCAAGGGCAGCCTAGGCAACATAGTGGGACCCTGTCTCAGAAAGCACTCCCCCAAAAAAAGAAGCACCTTGAGATATCTCCTAAGAGACATGTGATGGCGCTTGGGAAATGACTTGAGCAGGGAGCCATCTAGGGGGCTGAACAGGGCCAGCTCCAAGCAGTGTGCGTGGTCAGGTCTGGTACCATCCTCTGGAGTTGGTTGGGACAGCTGTGCCATCTGGGTTGGCACCCTACTCTTCCCAGGAAATAACCTCATTTCTCTTGGTTTCCCCCACCCATCTACCTGGTGAGGGAGGCTGGACTGGATGGAGCTGAATGTACCTCCTCACCGAGTCAGATTTCATGGTTCTAGGGTTCCTTTCTGCTTGCTGTCTGCCACACACTCTGCTCTCGTCTCAGCAAAGTGTCCTGCTCTGCAGGTCCCGATCATCACTTCTTGATAAGCTGTAACTGGTAACCGAACACTTCTGGACAGGAGTGGCCACCTTACCCCAAAGGACCCCCCCCCCCCGCTCCATCCTGAGCCGTGGGCTTTTAGGTGCAGAGATGGCCAGGATGAGAGGGGAGGAGGCCGAGGCAGGAGCTGCCCAGCACGGGCCCTGAATGCCAGGTCTGGCGGTTTCTAGGTAGGGAGGTCAGCAAATCACTTTTCTTCCCCACAGACCCCATCTCCCCAAATGTGAACTCGTGGAGAATAGTGTCTACTATGGGGCCTGCTGCAGGCTGCAGCGCAGAGCGCCCACCGGGAGCCTGACCCCCAGGAGGTGCCCGGCAGACGCTCCTGCCTCTCCAGCCCTCCCCTCCCACACTCCTACGCCCTCTCATCCCCTGGCCCACTGCTTGTGTTGGGGTGGGGCTGGGAAAGAGCTTGGAGTTCATTTCGGGCTCCACACCAGCCTAGTTAGGACCCCTCTGAGCCTCAGTCTCCTGGCCTGCACAATGGGGGTGCTGTTATTAACTCCTCAAGAAGCTGTGTCCCTGAGGACAAGAGGCACCCTCCCCTACAGGGCTGTGTAGAACATCGGGGAAGACCAGCTGGTGGCCACTACTCAGAGCTTCTGTTCGTTCATGTATTCACTGAGTGGATAGTTACGGAGTGCTTTCTATGTGCCAGGTCCTAGGACACAGCGACAATCATGCAAATCGTTTGCCTAGAGGGGCAGTGGGGGCAGGGGGCCTGGAGACCATAAACAAGGGTCTACCAGGCAGCCAATATCAGGGCTCATCGATTGTACCAACTCTGGCAACCGCTACTCTTGTTTAAACACCTGTGTGGCAGGTGATGTTTACCCCTCCCTGCAGGGTTGGATATATTTACAGATGGGGAAACTGAGGCTCGGCAAAGTGAATGCCCAAGGTCACCCAGCTGTGCAGCAGGGTTAGCATGTGGACTCAAGTATGTGTCTTCCTTTCGTCCCTCACATATGTCGGGGGAGGGTGGAGCAAGACCCTCGGGGCTCCTGCCTCTTGTGCTCCTGCAGATGGCTGAGCAGACACAGGGTCGGCCTTTCTGGAGCATTTCCTGTGTGCCTGCATGGGGCTCACCTCCTCCTCCCCTTCATCCTGTGATTCTGTCCGTCACTGTCCTGCGATGCTAGTTGCTGTCATTGTGCCCATGCCCCAGAGAAAGCAACAGATCTCAAAGAGGTCCCCAGGCTGTGTCAATTACACAGCCGAGTGGGAACAGCAAACCAGATAGTCCTAGTCTAATGGCAGTGGACAAGGCCAATGTTAAGGGTCAGCAGTGACCCTTCCATGTCTGGGTCCACAGGAGCTCTGAAGCCAGGCGTGACTGTCCTGCATTGCTTGTCAACCCGGCAGCAAGAGGATGCTGAGCGGGGAGCCGTGTGGCAGGGAGGGCAAGCCCATGGCCCCAGGGAGCCCATGGCCCCAGTGAGCCCATGACCGGTCTTGCCTCTGGTCTAAAGGTCCCCCTGGAGTTCAGGGCAGTGAAGGAACTGTGTCCTGAGTGTGCCGGGGACAGGGGTGGGACAGAAGCTGTGGTCCCCTCCATCATTATGTGCTGACCAGGGACCTCCAAGTCACTCAGGACTGGTCACCTGCTGGGCGTGAACGGGAGGTGTGCACAAAACTGAGACAGCAGCCTGGGAGACGGACAGCTCTCAGGCCAGGCGCCCTGCCCCTCCCCATGCCCCACCCTCGGTCTGATGACGCGGGTCTCCCTGTGGTACCCACCCTCTGCAGCTTGGAGTCACGTGGGGACACTTCTTGGTCTCTACAGGGTGCCTAGGGCCAGAATTGGGGTGCAGCCCACCAGTTGGGTGCCCTAGACAGGTCAGACCTTTCTTCTGGCCTGTTTCTTCAACTGTCAATAAGAGACATGAAGACCCTCGTCTTCATCTTCAGCCGCCCCTCTTACGAGGAGCAGCTACCACTGTCCTCCACATACTGTAGTCGCTGGCACTGCGGGCCCCGTTCTCAGGCCTAGTTCTGTCTCAGTGCTTGGCCCCTGGGAATTTGTTCTATGCCTGCCTCACAGTCACCATAATAAGGTGGGTACTGTGGTCACCCCATTTCCCAGGGAGGAAGTAGGACGCAGAGGGGTTAGGGGACTCCCTCACACTGGAGAACGCAGCGAACAGGCTTCTCCATGCCCCCCATGTCCTACCATGCTGACGGCACACCCTAGGGCTTACTTCCTGTGCATTTGACACTCCGAAGCGTGAGCTGGTGCCCAAGGCCAGGTGGAGCGCGTTCTGTTGACCCCTCCTGGGGGCCGTCTTCCCGCTGCGCTGGAGCCCCCAGAGCATGCAGGGGGACAGGCTTGGGCTTTCAGTGTGTGCCAAGGCAGGAATGGGGCTGCCAGGTCCCTGCAGACCATGGACTCCCAGGCTCAGCCTCCCACCTCCCACTCCGCTGAGTTGTATCCCTTTGCTTATTATGGAGCCTTGTAGGGGCTGGGGTGGGGCCCAGAGTTTTCCTGGTCCCTTTCCCTGGGACTCTGTCCATCAAGTGTGATCTCCTTCCAGACTCTGCAGGGCTCAAGTCCTGGCCGCTGTCCCCTGTGTCCTTCGTTCAAATGCCCCTCCTCTGCAGAGCCCAGCAGAGTGAGGAGGGCCCCCTTTCCCTCCAACCCGCGATGCTGCCTGTCTGTCTTCCCATGGCTGTGATGGGGTCCCATGTCCCCATGAGCCCAACTGAGTCTCTCTTCTTGATTTTATGTAACAAAGCATTGCTGGGTTTTATCACCAGAGCGGGCCCAGCCCGTGCGCGCTGGCGGGGTCCACAGCACCTGAGCCCACCCTGCCAGGCACGTGCATCCCGCAGCTGCTTCCAGCATGATCTGAGGAAGTGACCACTGCACTGCTGGGCACTGGGGAGCTGTCCAAACCATGTCCGTTGCAAGTCCCAGAAGTCGAGGGGCCACTGAAGTGGGAGGTCCCGTACTCCTGAATGTCCACTGCGGGGCCATTTGTTGAGCCAGTCTCCAGGCTAAGCATTCTGCATGTCCCGTCTGCTACCCTCCTGGGGGCTCCTGTCAGGGTGGACACTGACTTTAGCCACCTTCCATAACTGAGGAGGCAAGGAGCCAGAGCCCCCCAAGTCACAGTAAGGGGCGGTGCTGGGATGTGGACCTCAGTGTCCTGGACTCCAGAGCTCCTGCGTGAGTGAGCAGGGGGTGAGGTTGGAGCCCCAGAGCAAAACCAGCCTTGGCATAGGGAAGCTGTTTCGGAGGGCAGCAGTGGGGAGGGCTTGTGTCTTAGCAGCCTGGTGAGGCGGGTGGAGAGGGAATGTGCCCACCCCAAGACGCCAAGCAGTACCCACTTCCCACCCCTTAAAGCCTCTGCACGCCAGCAACCCAGCTCCACCCCAGACACCTGCCCCAGCTCAGGCCTCTTCCCGGGGCCTCCACACGGGGCTCGCCTGCAGCGCCTGGCTCTGTCCGCACCCTGTGGTGCAGGTGCTGCTCTCAAACCCTTTCTCAAACAGGGAAGGGCAGAGGCAGAGGGCACTAAGACACTCGGACGCAGCACTGAGTTTGCCACCGCAGAGGCTCACAGTCCAGTGAGGGGACCACCAAGGAGGGGAGGGGAGGGGCGCTAAGCCGGGAGGGGACGCAGCAGTAAGGAGAGTGGCCACAGAACAAGAAGGTCCACATCAGGCACAGGGATGGACTCCTCCTGTTCTCTGCCGTCACATGAGAAAGGGGCTCCGGGTGCAGCCTTCCAGAGCCGGGGCAAGCAGCCCGCATCGCCTACTCCCCCACTGCAAGGCTCCTTCCCGACACACAGGGTGGGGTGGGTGTGTGCACAGTGGGGCTGCTCAGGCCAGGTCTCCCCCAGGAGCGCATGCTCAGTCTCTAGGGAGCCGCTGCCCTGAGCTCAGCCGCCCTCCTGGGCCAGACCAGCCTCCCCCAGGTACCTGACGGCCCAGGCCCACACGATCCACCCCACAGAACCTCTCCGCTCTTCTGTCCCTTCTCAGGGAGCCGGGAGGCTGCCTTCACCTACGCTATCATCGCCGCAGGCGTGGCCCATGCCATCACCGCCGCCTGCACGCAGGGCAACCTGAGCGACTGCGGCTGTGACAAAGAGAAGCAAGGCCAGTACCATCGGGACGAGGGCTGGAAGTGGGGTGGCTGCTCTGCCGACATCCGCTACGGCATCGGCTTCGCCAAGGTCTTTGTGGATGCGCGTGAGATCAAGCAGAATGCCCGGACTCTCATGAACTTACACAATAACGAGGCAGGCCGCAAGGTAGGCAGCCAGGGAGGGGACGGGGCCCCGCACAGGTGCCACAAGCCAACGCTGTGTCCTCGCATGCTGCCCCGTGTCTGGGGATGCACTGGGGGCCCTGCCCAGGGATTCTCTCTGCTGGACCCTGGAGTCCATCAAGGCTGGTTGGGTTTGTGTCTCACGTGAGGTTCGTTGGTGATCGGAGAGGTTGAATTTCCATTAAAACAAGGCAGGAAAAAGGACAGATGTGAGCCCTTGTCTTAGGGTCCACAGAGGCAGCTGTACACAACTCTGACTGAAGCAGAGCGCTAAAGTGGGTTCTGGAGGGGGCTTCCATGGGCCTGGCTGCCACAGCAGCGAACCCATCCTTGATTTCCTTAAGCAAGATCGAAAGCTTAAAATGAAGAAGGTGAGCGTTCCTTCTTTACTGCCCCTTCAAGTCCTGCTGGATGTGAGAGTCAGGAATGTTCTGAGTGTTCCCAGTGGAGGTGGCCAGGATGAATGGACACTGACACCCCACCCCGTGAGTGCTGGCAGTGCAAGGGCAGGAGGAGCAGAGGGGTCTACAGACCCAGAGAGCATGGCAGGGGATACCATGGGGAGGCAGGGCCTGTCCAGGTGAGGACCGGCCATAGTCATTGAGAAATGGATCAAGTTACTAATAAGGGAATGAGCTTCCCATCCTAGGGAGTATTCAAGCATATGCAGTTGGCCAGGCATCTTGGGACAGCCAAGTCAGTGCTGTAGGCCTAGACCTGAGGGTGAGCATGGGTTTTGGCCAGGCCTGTGAAGGCTGAGGTATTCAGAGCAGACTCTGGTGACCCCAGGGCTGGGAGGGCCGGAAGGGAATCCGGTCTCTGGAGAAGTGCGTGAGCCACCCTGAAGAGGGAGGGCCCAGTGCTGGCCTCGGGCGGGGGACAGAGCACTGCCGTGACCGGCCTGCGAGCCACAGACACAGGTATCGGCAAGTGCAGAGCTGGCTGAACCGGGACACAGGCCCAGTTCACAGGCCCGGAACACGGGAACTGGAACTCAGCCCCACAGCTGGGTTCTGCCACACTGGAGCCATGTGACCTTCTGCCCTTGGGTGGCTCGAGGGTGAGGTTTTAGTCTCTGATTTTTATCTGAAATCACCTTGTTTTGAAAACTGGTTGTTATCAATAACTCTTTAAAAATAAGAAAAACACAAATCAAAGAAACCCTCAAGGCTCAAGGCTCAGAGACAAACATCCACTGGCCAGTGGGTGGCAGAGTGGCGAGGTCTTGTCCTGGTGGAGCCAGGCTTCTTCTAGCTGCAGGACTTTGAGCTCATAGAGTCCTCACCGGGTGTGCAGGAGGTAGCACACCGACCTCCTTTACAGGGGAGGAGGTTAGACCACAGAGCAGTTAAGAAACGCATTATGAGTCCCACAGCGAATAACAAACGTGTCCTGCTGTGGCGCGTGTGATCTCAGCATACGTGCACGTGGCCGAGGTGCGGTAGTTGTGGTGTGGCTGTGTGGGCGGTCACCTGGGTGCAGGTCCAGCTCTGCCACCCCTTCCCGAACCGCAGGGCCTGATCTGGCATCCTCAGAGCTCACGTGGGCGGTGCAATGCTGAGCCATGCATGCACACTGACGGGAGGGGTCTGTCTGGCCTGGGCGGGCAGGGAGCTGTGCATGGCACCTCAGTGGGGAAAAGGCCCAGTCCCACCCTCCTCGCTGCCTGAGGCCACATCCTGTGTGTCAGAGCCTCCCTCCCGGGCAGCCCTGGTGAGTCACAGGGGCGCCACTCATCTACTCTGCCCCAGGATGATATCCCTGGGCGTACTGCAGGCCCTGCCTGTCTAGGCCCTGGCTGGAGCTCCTGCCCAGGGTGACACCTCAAGGCAGGCAGGTTCCTCTGCCTCAGAGCCAGAGCCTTCAGGTCACAGGTCACAGAGGCAAGCAAGGATGTCCCTCCGGCATCACAGTCCTCCTCTGGGTTGGGCCATGGTGAGGATTCCAGGGGAGAGGCACCCAGGGTCTGTGGAAGTCAGGCTCAAGCCAAATCAGGTGGGAGGGCATCATATAAGCCACATGGCTCTACGGACATGCAGCTTTTCTTTGTTTCTCATTTTTCTTGTTATGTGTTTGTAGCATGTAATGATTACATTTATTGTGGGGAGCTGGCCCATGAACATAACATAGCTTTATTCCTTTTTCATCCCCTTCCCTCCCCTCCCCCTCCCCTGCTCCCTCCAACTCTTGGTCCTCTTTCCATTTGCAAAAACTCTATTTCCATTTTTTCTTCAATTTCCCCTTTGTTTTCCTCCCTTTTTCCTTCCCTCCCACCCTGTCCCTCCATTTCATGGTCCCCTTCCCATTTGAAAAGATCTTCCCACTTCTTTTATGTCTTTTACTTTGCTCTTTATTCTTACTTTGAGTTTCTCATATAAGAGAAACCATGGAATGTTTAAGCTTGTGTGTCTGATTCATTTCACTTCACACTGTGATCTCAAGTCACCTCCATTATTCCTACAAATGACTGAGTTTGTCTTTCTTTATGGCAGAGTAGGGCTCCATGGTGTGTAAATACCACATTTTCTTTATCCACTCATCCATTGATGGACTCGTACACTGTGTTGTGCTGCTATAAACGTGGCTACTAGCTATTGTGAATTGTGTTTGCGATCAACACAGGTGTGCGTGGATCACTGAAATATGAGGTCTTTAACTCTTTCTGGAAGGTGCCTAGGAAGGGAACAGCTGGGCCAAATGGAACCTCTGGTTTTAGTTTTTTGAGGACTCTCTGTACTGATTTCCATAGTGGTTGTACCAGTTTACTTTCCCACCAGCAGTGGAGAAGAGCTCCTTTTTACCCACAGCCCCGCCAGCATTTGTTATGGGTTGAGCTCTTAATGATTTATAGCCATTCTTTCTGGGGAGAGATGGAATCTCAGTGTTGTTTTCACTTGCGTTTCCCTAGTGCAGGCACGAGGCTTGTGGCTGCCGTTTCATCGTAGTGACCAAGCTGGTGAGCCACGCTGATGCGGGAGCCGGCAGTGATCAGGCTCCTAAGCTCAGCGGGCTCCCTGAAAGAGGTGGCCCTGAGAGGAGTGAGGTGTGGTTAAGCAGAGAAGAGGGTCAGGCACCACATCTGGTGAAGAGGGGCCGCGGGCAGAGCTCCTGGGGCGGAGGTCTGGGGTGAGTATGAGGCCCACCTCTGCAGGCCTGGAGGACCCTAAAGGGGTGGCCATGGCCGGGTAGCCTGCGCAGTTAGGCCCCTGCTCAGCGAAGGAGTAGCAGCCTTGGAATCTGCCCCAAACCCCCCTTGACTGCCTTCTCATGGCCCCCACTTCAGGCACAGTATCCCACTCCTTCCCAGCTGCACCCGGGACATCCCCTCTCTCCAGGCTGAAGGCTCACGAAGGGCAGAGGTGCCAGGTGTTTCTGTCACCGCTGCTGCCCGGGCCTTGGCACGCAATGGTATCTCTTTCAATATCTATGGGATGGGTAGGAAGTCCCTTGTGGTTGCGGGAAGCCATGGATGGTTCTGGAGCAGGGTAGAGACAGAAGTCAGAGAAACAGACCCAGACTTGGGGCGCGGGCCGGGAGTGAGTGTGCGGGGCTGTGGGGAAGCCTCTGGGGAGCAACGCTCCTCCGGCTCCACTCCGCTTAGGGAGGAACCTGCCTAGGAACAGCCTGGAGACTCAGTTCGTACAGTTACCACGATCTAAACTCCTGGGCCGAGCGGTGAAAGGGGGACTCCCAAAGCATACAGGGAAAAGCTGGGCAGCCCTCAGGGTAGCCTGTGGCCCAGAGCTGGCCCTTGGGCACCCAGGACCGTGGCCACACAGCAGAGCGAAGAGACAGGGAGGTGTCTCCCAGCCCACCCCAGATGCCTGGCACTGCCAGCCTGTCACAGGGGCCCCCAGGGCCCAAACCCAGGTCCCCCCCCCCGGCAGGAAGGAGCAGACTCAGCCATGAGCTGCTGTGGGTTCTGTCGCTTCTGTCCACCAGGACAGTGGCCCTGGCCATGTTCCAGATCACAGATGCCAGCCAGTTGGCTCCTGGGCTGCAGATGGTGCTGCTGCTTGGAAGGATCAGGACCCCTGGGGATCCCCAAATGCACAGCAGGAAAGTTGGGAGCCAGCGCCCGGAAAGCAGCGCACCCATGTTTATGGAGGAGAGGACGCTGGTGCTCGGGGCTCCTCCCAGCTGGGAAAGAGGAGTATGGGGAGCAGGGCGGAGTCCACCGTGCACTTGGAACATGGCTGGTCTCCGGCTGGGGTCCCAGCTAGGCAGCACCAGGCCTGCACCTGTGGGCAGGACCTGGGACCAGCGCGGTCACCCTGCCCCTGCGGTTGTGTGGCCCACAGTGAGCGTCACACAGCCATCAGGGTAGGAGGCAGCGGCAGGGGCTGCAGCCATCCCTAGGGACAGGGCTCATTTCGGGATTGTCACCTCTGCTGTGGGCGGGCTAAGGCCGGGAAGTCACAGCCTGTGCAGCCCGGGGTTGTGGAATATCAGGCTCACGCCCTGGTGACTGGGTCCTAAAGTCCCAGGATCCTGGGCTGGGAGGGAGCGGGGAATCAAATCTGTGTGTCAGAATCTTTGGGTGGCCGAGTCTTTGCAGCTTTGCATCATTTCTTTGCCTCCTCTTGGGCAGCAAGGAGGTAAACGACCCGAAGGTCATGCCCTCGAGCCACTCTGTCTAGGAAGAGTCAGACAGGAGCAGCAAAGCCCGTGACTGGGGACTGCACAACCAAGGAGAAACTCTATACAGAACATGCAGAAAAGAGGCTAGAGGAGGAATGGTTTCCCCTGAGAGAATTCAGAAGGCTGCTGAAGGGGAAAAGGGAACTTTAGGTGAGGCTTTAAGGGATAAGTAGGAGTCCTCTAGATGGACAATACACTGGAAGAGGGCAGTGGGGGCAGGAGTAGGCCGGTATCTCGGTGGTACAGCGCATGTGTGTGAGGCTCCCAGCTCCCTGTGGCTATGTCACTGAGGTAGGGCCCAGGCAGAGGCACTAAGAGGGAGATGTGAGGGTGCTGTTGGAT